CTAGTTAAAATAGGATATTTGTATTTATTGTATATAATTGTGTAGGTTTGTACTTACTGTATATAATTTCGTAGTAGGCTTAAAACTCTCTTACTTAAACAAAAGGGGGAGGTGTTGTGGGAGTAACTTCCGCTGCCTCAACCAATAGTTGCTAAAATACGAGCCCACAGTGCAGCGGGGAGCGACTTCCGCTCCGTCAGCCAATAGCTGCTGAAATACCAGCCCACTGGGGCGTGTTATATTTCTCTTTTAAAAAGAGAAACAGATCCGGATCAGGCTCTCTTGGTTCCGGTGCTTGCTCCCGGCTCCTGCTCCAGGCTCCTGCTCCCTGCTCCTGCTCCAGCGACTAGGCTCCCTTCCTGACGGTTTATGGTGTATGTAAGTTTTACCCCCCAAAATAAATAACCCCTTAAAACATAACTGATGTGAGATTGATTCGCCGATAAATTCTAAAACAAAAGCCCCTTCTCTCTCCAAATATACACTTAAGGAGCAGAGAGTAGGAAAAAAGATAAGTAAGCTAATGTAGCAAAATTATTTTCAGATACATGTTTCTTCAAGAATTGTTAGAAAAGAACTAAGACACTTATTCTGGCTTAGGGCAAGATGGTAGAGATTTAGTTCAAGATTGGTTCATGTTCAAAGAAAGCCTGGAGTTCAGCACCATTTGAGGCCTTGCAGACACCTCCAAGACAGAAATTCTAAAGTGGCTTGTCCTTTGCTCTCCCCAGACAGAAAGCCCTGTACTGGATTTCCTCTAACTGCGTATTTCGGTCTGCCCTTCAAATACTCCTAAATGGAAACTCTGTACTACACCTGCAAATACACCACAGGACGCTCACACAGACCTAATCATTGAGTTAAGACCACCTTTTCTTTTAGCTATTTCAGAGTGACAAAGATGCATTTCTCAAGTAAGCCCTGAAGAGCTCATGTCACACCAAGGCTCTGCCAAGAATGAACTCATGAAATCAGCTGAGCTGGGAATAAAATACTGGCCTCCAGGTAAATAGAAGTTCATAGTCACTCTTTCCTGAAATACCAAGAAAGAAGAGATATTTCAAAAGGCTTGAGGAAGAACCACTTCACTTCTTTTAAAAGTGTTTTGTGATTTTTTTTTAACATATTTTAAGTAAGTCTAAAAGGGGGGAAGAAAAATACCAAAAACGGTTAAAAAAAGAAAAAAGAATGTACCATTACCACACAACCCCACTCCACTTATCTTCTGGGTCAGTTGTTGTTGTTGTTGAGGATGCATCATCTCCAGCAGCTGTTACAGCAGGTAAAATGCCTACACTGCTCAGCTTTTTCAAAGGACAGCCAGCTTGACAGGCTCACCTAGTCAGGTGACCTAGAGGGAGGAGAGGATCTCTCAGCTGTTAGGTAACCCACGCTGGGCTTCCTCAGCTTCTCTAACACCCCTTGGAGACTAGATGGCGGACAAGTTGTTAAGAGAAAACCTGGCCATAGGTCTGCTAACAGGAAAGGAAGAAAAGGATAACTGTTAAGAATAAAACTTTGGAAGAAATCTTATGGACAAGTGAGAGAGGCTTCTCAAAAACCAAAGCCTTATAAGAACACCTCCATAAAGAAGACTTAGTTTAATTCTCATTCAATAAAAGAATTCTTTCTGCAGCACCTGTGACATGACCAGAACTAAGGTGACATTCAGACAGAGTGGCCAGACATCTAGAGAGACATTCTATTAAGAATGTTCTATTATGAGAGGGACATAAGCAAAATTTCAAGGTGAGTAAGCCTGGGTTAAGTCCAGATTCCACAAGACTAGCTCCTGTTAGAGAAAAACATGCAAGAGGTGGGAGTTCAGCTAGGTGGAACATATTTAGAGTCAATGAATCCATTCAAAAACCTGTAGGTACATGAAGTGACAAGCTTAGTTCACAAATCAAGGTGTCTGTACAGATAAAAAAGCAAGAAACAGGCATGCACATGGAACATAGACACACCTATACATAAATTAAATACCCATAAAATAAAAAAGAAATGATTAGGTAGAATCAGAGAATGAAGAATCAAAGGCTAAGCAATTTAAACAAAAAGGCCAAATGAAGGTTACTGCTATCTACCATGTTTTGACTTCCTATCTTCCTCCATAGCACACATTTCAGTTTTTTTAAGGTTCACCAGGTCTCTACTGTGCTGAACTGTATCCTCTTAAATGATATGCTAAAATGCCTTAAAAGTGCATCTCCATGGGTTGCAAAAGGCAAAGCTGAACAGACTGGAATCACAAAAAGTTTCAAGAAAAGAACCCTGTGGCTGATCTTGAAGGAACAAGCTTTGGTGTCACTGGGAGGACACATGGCTGGAACTGTCTGTCCATAGTGAGTCAGGAAAGGTGATGGCACTGCAGTCTTACAAACAAACAATTCCCCCAAAACTGAAGGAACTTGGAAAAGAATATCTATGTAGCATCCAGCCCAATCAATGTCTTGATTTCAGTCCTGTACGGATTCTAAGTATAAACTGAGTGACAACCATCCAGACTTGTGACCCACAGAGCTGTGAGCTATAACTGGGTGCTATTTTAAAGCCATTAGACCACACAATTCATTATGTAGCAAGAGAAAACAAATATGATATTTTACTTGACTATTGTGAAGTCCAATAAAAATTCTTTCTAAATTATATAAAGGTTATTATCCAATTGATATGTCTAAATAGAAATCATATTCAATAACTCATCTAATTTGTCCAATTTTCTGTATTTCTCTATTTCTATAGTGCTACCACAATTATAGCTTTGTCCTACTGTGTTGTGGAACTGTAAAACACATACCTCTCCTGGAGAGGACCCACGTGTGATGGGACACATGTGTGAGAGTGTGGGTGTAACGAATCAAAGGAAGGAAGATGCTATCAAAGGCAGACATTAAGAAATGAAGTGCTATGGCTCTAAACCTCTAAGACTGTACAGTAGGTCTAACATTAGCATGCACTGCCAAAAAGAAAACTTTTAAGAATAATTTATCACAGATACAGTTATTTTGTTTGGCTAGAGTATGATGGGCAGGCATCCAAACTTCAAAGATTTGTTTTCACAGGGGAAGGGACACTGAAGAAAATGTAAGTAATTTATATTTTCTATGATAAAATAAGTTACACAAGGCTGAGTGCTGGCAGTGGTACATGCCTTTAGTCCATTGATCTCCATGAGCTTGAGGCTAGCCTGGTCTACAGAGCTAGTTCCAGGACAGCCAGGGTTACACAACAAACCCCATCTCAAAAAAAAAAAAAAAGTTATATAAAGAAACACTAACAACACATACCTAATTCTCCTGATGGGAACCATTAAAAGATGAATGAAAAGTCTTACAGAAAAACCAAAATGCATGCTCAAAGTATTAAAGGTTTCATCCACTCAAAACTAGTGGAGTTGCTGGCAGTAGTGGTGCACGCCTTTAACCCCATCATTCGGGAGGCAGAAGTAGGCAGATCTCTGTGAGTTTGAGGCTAGCCTGGTCTATAAGAGCTAGTTCTGGGACAGTTAGAGCTGTTACACAGAGAAACCCTGTCTCAAAAATAAATAAATAAATAAAACCTATCTTTAATTTTATATTTGCTTCTTCTAACTTTATACTGTACTATAGGCATTTCTCCAAGTTATTTTATATCCTTATCACATTCTTCTTAATAGAAGCACAGCATTCACAATACAAATTGACATAACTTAGTTAGCCAATCTGTTCCAAATCCTACTATAAGCAATGTATATCTTTTCCCTTCTATCTTTGCACATAGACAATGTTATTTCTTAGACTGAACTCCTACAGGTAGAATTACTAGGTTGGTGAGCATTTCTGCATATTAAAAATCTTTTGCATATTCTTTCAGTACTTTTATAATTAAAAAATTCTATTATTTTGAGAGGTCTGCCAGTTGTTCTAATTATGTTTTTTGAATAATTAGAGTAATTTTGAGTAATTTAGTACCATTTATGGCAATCTAAGGGCATGGGTCCTCCTACATCCTCTTGAATATTTATTCTTGCAAATCAAGTGTGGAATTATTTTGCCAAGTTTTCCCAAAGAACTGTTGAAATTATTAATAAGTAGAATAAACTGAATGATGCTTCTACAGTTTTTCCATTAAAACCTCTGTCTTTTGATAGTTTCATATTTTATGTAAGTTTTGCCTATTTCCTTTTTGGGTTTATTTCTAGTATTTCATATACTTTCCATCATGTTTTCTAATAATTTGTTGCTTAAATATTGGCAGTATATTAAATACTTGTAACATATTTACACGCTGTCAAGAAGCCCAAAATATGAAGTGTCCACACAAAAGGCTCATTTGTTGCATAGTGGTGGCAATAGTGAGATGTGAATAGATTGTGCACGTGTGGATTTCATCAATCTATTAAATTCAACCATGAGTTTATACTAAAGGGACTATTAGAAGGTAGGGCAGAAAGTAGGTCCCTGGTGAATGACTTTTAAAGGTCTATCTTATGCCCAGTCCCTTCTTGCCTCTTTCTGTTTCTCAGGCGCCGTAAAGTAATCACCTACTGCCTCACGCCCTCCCCACTGCAAGCTCTATCCTACCACAGGCACTGAGACATAAGGCCAAGTAACCCAAAAGTAAACCTCTAAAACCACGAGCTAAAACATAAATCCCTATTCAGTTAGGCTGTTTTTCTCAGGTATTTTGTTACAATGGTAGAAAGGTTAGCTCAAATGCATTATACAAAGATACACAAAATATATTTTACATGTGTACCATATTCTACATATATTATAGCTCTCGGTCTCTAATCAAAATTTACTATTCACTACTTTTTATTTTATTCTTACTCTAGATAACACCTATTACTTTTAGGTTAAAAGTAATGATTCTGTATCTTTTTACAAATATTTATATAGCTTATTTCTCTCTTGTGTAATAAGTAAACTTATCAAAAAAGTGCTAAATAATTAAAAATACATATTAAATAGTTTAATACTATAACAAACTTCCAGCCAAGACACATGGACCATTACCATTCCTGATGTTAGGGAGAGCCAGATGGGGAGGGGAGCTTCTGTTCTCAGCGGCTTCTTTCTTCTGGGTAACTGTCGAAACAAAGCTGCTGAAAGTGGGAATCTGGCCCTTGGATCCTCTGTCCAAGCCCTAAAAACAAAATATTTAAAATTGTAACATAATTTCTTCTAATCATAGTTAAGTAATTTTATTGTAAAAATCAAAGTGTTCTCATAGATATTTAGATTTTATGACAGATGATGAAACTATTATACATGCAAATGACCAGATTTTCTTCCTATAAGTGAGTTAAGTCAATAATCTAACTACTTACAAACTCTAAGGGTTAGAGAGGGGATGGCAGTAGTATACCTATTTCACAGTTGTGGCAGCTAACCAATTCTACTAACACTACTCCTTGTACACAATATATGTTCCATAAATGCTATTTTAATTATTTATTTAGATAATACTATTTTATATACTCCAAATCTACAAGCTTTAATAATTTATGGATATTATAGGTTGATCTACTAAATTTTTAATAATCATTTGATCTAACTTTTAAAATTTATATAAAGTAATAATTCCTTTAGCACTGATTTTTTCAAAACATTATAAATAAATTGTGAGTATACTAGGAATAAAAAAATATTTTCTAACAATGTAGCGATTCTTAGGTATAAACTATAGAGCACCTAAAAAAGAAACTACCCATTAACACATTTTCCACACTAACAACTCCAAAAAATTCTTAAAATATTTAATTAACCTGTACTCTGTAAAATATATATATTATATATAACATATAATATATATCATTATATATTTTATAATATATAATAATTATATATAATAATATATAATATATATAACATAACATATACATATATATCACAACTAAGCAGTTCTGCTGACTTTAGGGCTTTTCTTAGTTCTTAGATTTTTATGAACTTATATTCCAGATCTTAGGTTCTGTTTTATTTTGAGACAAGGCCTCACTATGTATTCCTGCTGGCCTGAAACGTGGTATATAGTTAGACTGGCCTTGGATTCCTGTCTCAGCCTCCCCAATGCTGAGATCATAGATGTACATCACCACACCCCACTTTTCAGCTCCCAGAATCTTGAGAACAGTAGTTAACGTCTTAATATATTTTGTTCACATTTTGTGTGTGTGTTGAAGTATGTGTGTGTATATGTATGCTATGCTACCCAAGTGGAGGTCAGAGAGCAGCCTCAGGGAATCTACTCTTTCCTTCCACCATGTGGATCCAATCCTGTGATTGAACTTAGGTCAGTAGTTAAGTGGCAAGCACCTTTACCCACTGAGCCAATTTGTCAACCCAACATTTTCTTTTTAATCTAAAGGTAGTTTTATTTTCACAGCAGTAAAATGAAGAATTTTCAAACAGAAGAGTTTCTTTTTTTAAAGGATTATTAAAATTAAAAGAGCTCAAAGAAAAGAAATTTCAGGTACTACACACATAGTGTTTAAGTTTCTGGATTTGAGCAATTTTGGAAACCTTATTCATGGATACGGAGACTGGAATCATCTGAAAGTCACCAAAAGTCAGTGGGCTAACAGGTAACAGAAATGTGATAGCTGGGCTCAAGTGATGACCTAGCCAGTAGAATAGACTTAAGTTTGATCCTCAGAAGCCAGGTAACAAGAACTTGGGTAAAAGGCCCCTGCTTTATCCCAAGTTGAGCTGGAACAGAGAACGCCAGATAAGCCTCCTACCCTCAGATCACCAACACTTCCTCAATCGCTTGCCCAGCCTACTACCCCCAACCGCCCTCCTCCCTTTGTCACCATAGCCTGGCCCACAACTCTGGTGAAAGCCCACTGCCAGACTGAAGACACCAGACACCAGCAGAGGCACAGGTAGGCTGGTTGCCCACTGATCACTCCTACTTTCTCAGTGCTTCCCCGCCTACCTCAACTGGCTCTCCCTTCCTGATCACCATATCCTGTCTCCCAACTCTAGCCAAAGCACCTTGCTGGACTATAGGACACACAGGCCAGCCACCAGAACCCTAGCACTGTTCCCACTTAGTGTCTGCCCAATCTATCTCCAAGCCCCTACACCTCCCCATCACCATATCCTGATCCCCAACTCCTATGGACCCCAGACTGGACCAGAGGCCATGCTGATCAATAGAACTCCAGCATAGTTTATAGTATCACAAAGAGTTTCACAATAGCCCGGAATGGAATATAACAAAAGGTTATTTATTTGGGGATAAACTCACAGTAAGGGTAGAGATCCACAGTCCTCTATGTGCACTGGGAACTGGAATCGAATCCAGCAGAAAAAAGAACCACACATACTTTGACTGCAATTACAGTACATGAGACCACACCCAAAGTGGGCCTGTATCTTAAAGGCTATTGGCTGAAAATTCCCACGACACTAATAAAAAGATACAAGCTAACAGAATGGATGCAGAAACAAGATCCATCCTTTTGCTGCATCCAAGAAACACATCTCAAAATCAAAAATAGACATTACCTCAGAGTAAAGGGTTGGAAAAAGATTTTCCAAGCAAATGGAACTAAGAAACAAACTGGTGTAGTCATTCTAATATCTACCAAAACAGACTTCAAACCAAAATTATTCACAAAAGACAGGAAAGGACACTTCATATTCCCCAAAGGAAACATCCACCAAGACCATCTTTCAACTAATATCTATGCCCCAAACAAAAAGACACCCAGGCTTGTAAAGGAAACACTACTAAAGTTTAAACCACACATTGACCTTCACACATTAATAGTGGGAGACTTCAATACCCCACTCTCACCAATGGGTAGGTCATCCAGCAAAACTAAGTAGAGAAAATACTGGAGCTAACAGACATTGTAAACCAAATGGACTAACAGATGTCTATAGAACACTGTACCCAAACACAAAAGAATACATCTTTGTTTCAGTACCTCAAGAACCTTTATCAAAACTGACCACACAGTCAGCCACGAAGCAAGCCTCAACAGATACAAAACTGAAATACCCCTCCCCCATATCCTATCAGACCACCATAGATTAAAACTGGATTTCAACAACAACAGAAACAACAGAAAGTCGACAAACTCATGGAAACTGAACAACTCTCTACTGAATGCTGGGTCAAGGAAGAACTAAGCAAAGAAGTTAAAGACTTCCTAGAATTCAGTGAAAAGGAACGCACAACATACCCACACTAAACTGGAAATAATGAAAGTGGAGCAAAGAGGTGAACCTACATAGAGAAATTGGGGAAAGCTCATATTAGCAACTTAATGGAAAGCTCTAGAACAAAATACAAGCAAGCTCACCCAAGAGGAGTAGATGGTATTAAATAATCAAACTGAGAGCTAAAATCAATAAAATAGAAACAAAAAACCACACACACACAAAATAATCAATGAAACAAAGAGCTGGTAAACCCTTATCTAAACTAACTAAAAGGCAGAGAAAGGATATACAAATTAACAAAATCAGAAATGAAATGGGAGACATAACAACAGACACCAATGAAATTCAAAGAATCATTAGGTCATTCTGTACTCCACTGGAAAATCTAAAAGAAATGGATAATTTTCTCAATAGATACCACTTATCAAAGTTAAATCAAGATTAGATAAACAATTTAAATAGATTCATAACCTGTAAGGAAATAGACACAGTCACTAAAAGCCCAGAGTCAGACAGTTTTAATGGAGAATTTTATCAGACTTTCAAAGAAGAGCTAATGCCAATACTCCTCAAATTATTCCACAAAAATAGAAAAGAAGGAACATTTTCAGAAGCTATAATCACCCCAACACCCAAACCACACAAAGATTCAACCAAGAAAGATAATTTTAGACCAATTTTCTCCACGAACATTTATGTAAAAAATACTCAATAAAATACTCACAAACCGAATCCAAGAACACATCAAGAAGATCATCTACCATGATCAAGTAGGCTTCATCCCGGAGATGCAGGGATGGTTTAACATGAAAATCTGTCAATGGAATCCACCATATAAACAAATTTAAAGACAATAACCACACAATCATCTCATTAGATACTGAAAAAGCCTCTGACAAAACCCAACCGCCCTTCATGAAAAAAGTCGTGGAAAGATTAAGGAAACAAGAGACATACCAAAATGTAATAAAGGAAGTTTCCAGCAAGCCTATAGCCAACATCAAATTAAATGGAGATAATCTCAAATCAATCCCATTAAAAATCAGGAACAAGACAAGCCTGTCAACTCTCTCAGTATCTATTTAATATAGCACTTGACGTTCTAGCTGGAGCAGTAGAAGAACTGAAGGAGATCAAGAGGACACAAATAGGAAAGGAAGAAGTCAACGTGTCTTTATTTGCAGAAGATGTGACAGTACACATAAGCAATCCAAAAAAATTCTACCAGGGACTCCTACAACTGAAAAACACCTTTAGTAACATGGTTAAATAGAAAATTAACTAAAAAAAATCAGTAACCCTCCTAAACACAAATTACAAACAGGTTGAGAAAAAAATCAGGAAAGAACACCCTTCACAATATCCACAAATACTATAAAACATCTTGGGGTAACTCTAACCAAGTAAGTGAAAGACCTGAATGACAAAAACTTCAAATTTTTAAAGAAAGAAATTGGGGATGATATCAGAATATGGAAAGATTGCCCATGTTCATGGACCAGTAGGATTAACATAATAAAAATGGCTATCCTCACTAAAACAGTCTTACAGATTCAGTGCAACCCCAATTAAAAATTCAACATAATTCTTTACAGATCTTGAAAGAACAATACTCAACTTCACATGGAAAAACAAAAACAAAAACAATCTAGGATAGCTAAAACAATTCTGTACAATGAAAGAACTGACAGAGGTACCAACATCCCTGTTTCCAAACTATATCACCGAGTGTGCTACGATAACAAAAACTGCATGGTACTGCCATGTAAACATGTGGATCAGAGGAATTGAATCAAGACACAGACACAAATCCACACACACATGTACACCTGATTTTTGACAAAGAAACCAGAAATATACAATGGTAAAAAGAAATCATTTTCAACAAATGGTGCTTGTATTACTGGATATCTGCATGTAGAAGAATGCAAATAGATTCATACCTATCATTCTGCACAAAACTCAAGTCCA